AAGCGCCGAATATGTCAGCGTCAAATAAATCAGCGCCAAATATGTCAACGCGACCTTTCTCAGCGTGACAGATCTCAGTGCCACAGATCTAAGCACCATGTTTCTCAGCACCAATTTATTATACTTCAAGTACAATGTATGTATGAACATTGCCTGTTGTGATTATGACCGACAAGTATTGACTTCGCGCTGCACTGTATCGCGCTGAACTTCTTCGCGCTGTAAATTACTGCGCCTTACTTTTTCGCGCTATATTGCTGGAGCTGTACTTTCCCGCGCTGATAGTCATGGCGCTGAAGAAGTTGGCGCTGTGAAATCGGGCGCAGAAATGTATCGCGCTGAAAGGGTCGCGCTGAAGTGGCAAGTCAACGCTGTATTTGTTGGATCTCTGCAGCATGTCAAAAAACATAATTACAAGCAGTTGCAGAGGACTAGCGGAAGAGATATGGCAGCACGTACAGTTGGGTTGCCATGATGACAATGTGTTCCTAGCTCGAGTTCGGTACAGGTCTGGTCAGTAGACAACCCCGACGGTGTCAACACTTTTGTCTTACAACACGTATTGTCGATTCCATGCCATTTCGGCGCCTCAAGTTCAGCGCCAGCCAGGTGAGCACGATCGTTTCAGCGCCGTGAACATGAACGCCAAATTTTACAGGACCACATACTTCAGCGCCAGCAGATAAGCGCCGAATATGTCAGCGCCATATATGTCAGCGCCAAATATGTCAGCGTGACAGTTCTCAGCGCCAGTTTATTAATTATTATACAATGTATGTATGTCAGAACATCACCGGTTGTGCCTATGACTGTACTTGTTGGGAATGGCGTTGTCATGGGAAAGGTCTTCAGTGAATGTGTGTCAGATCTCGTCATGACTGTAACTCCTACTTGATTCCCTGGCTAGGTGCTTCTATGCTAGGCTATGCTATGCTTGATTTGTTTGAATTCTTTCTTGAGCATTAAATTTATTGATTTGTATTTGACCTGTCTTACCTGTGTCTACGTAACTTGCTGTGCAGTATCCTTGATCGTTGTGTTAGGCAAGTGCCCAGATGTCGTAACATCCATGCTGGATTAGTCAGTAGACTGCTCTGCTGCACTATTTGACGACAGAGTTACGTTCCTTTATTTCGCTTCGCACTTGTAGTTTGAATTTCTTGAGTGCACGCACGGCGTATTTTTTGTGTTTAGTTTAGTTGACGTCGTGAGGTACTAATTTGGCTACCCGGACTGTACGAACTGTACTCAGGCGCAATCGAGTATCGATTTGGCGACATTTTTGGCGCTTGTGCTTTGACAGTCCGTTTTTCCTGTGTTTCCCTTTCAGTTGTTCTTCTCTCTTGCTTCAACACGGTCATGTAATTTCTTTCGTCTCCTTTTCTATCTTGCATCCTCTGTAATCGTTCGTGCCATGTAAATAAATACTGGTCGGTCTCAGTTCTTGGAACCTTTGAGTGTATGGTACACAACAATTTGGCGACCACGCCAGGATCCGAGACCCATGGAGCAGATCGAAGCGAATCTGATCGCGAACGGTCAAGCGTATGGCTACACTGGAGAAAGCCTGTGTGAATATGTAGAGGATCGGATCCAGAAACACGAGGAGAGAGAGCGCAGACGCAGAGAGAGCGCGACGCTCGAGCAAAGGAAAGAAAAGGGAGTAGAGACAATGCGGAGCTGTGGCAGAGGGTCACAGAGTTAGAGGAGAAAATCACACAGTCCAGACCCTCTACTCTAGAGACAACAGCAGTATCCTGGATAGTAGTGCCATCAGAGAGGAAGCCAGCCATCAAGATGCCGAAGTTTGATGGCAAGCAAACGGTAGAGTCCTACCTTGAGTTATTCGAGGACGTGGCGGCACAAAACGAGTTCAGTGAGGACCAGTACCTAATAAGATTGCGCGTTGCTGTTGCTGGCAGCAAGCTGGAGAGCGCATGCTATGGATGCAGCACGTTTGCGGACGCCAAGCGTGAGCTGCTAACTGCCCATGGAAAGACAGCAGACAAGGCATGGCAGGCATTGGTGTCCATGGTGCAAAAGAGCGATGAGAGTTTTTACCAGTTTGTGGTACGGACAACACGAGAAACAGAGAAGTGGGCGAAACTCGCAATGCCCGAGTTATCGACCCGCAGCACATCGACCCGCAGTGGGGTCAGCCAGGTGGACGAGATT